GTGCACACTAAAACCTGCAAGGAAAACATGGAGATATACGGCTGAAGCAAAAATTACCACAACCACGCAATCTTAAAACATACAAGAAAGTTTGTACTTTTCTTCATTACTGATTCAAAGCAAAAGTAATACATATATCCGAACTGAAAACTGAATCAAGCAGTTCTCTCAAATGGTAAAAAAGACATGAACTACGCAATAAATTGTAGCTAAAAAGCTCATAACATTATCTTACAGGATTTTTAAGGTTAAGTATCTTAATAAGACCTACATCATACCTACTCTAACCCAGCAATTGAAAGAAACATACCATTACTGCATTACAATGTGAATTTGTGAAGAAGCCTTTTTTTTTTCTGAATCAAGACTACAAAAAAAGTCACGAAATTGAGCTCAAGCTCAGAAAACCAAATCAAGATCTTACTGAATTAAGACTAACCCATTTCCAAAAATGCTTCTTGACAGACACAGCCTCGTGAGCAATACTCATCTCTCCGCAATTCGCATACTCATGCTCCTCCTCAGTGCAAAACTCTCCTTCTGGTAAACCATCCACCCAAGCATCCACCGAATGCAAAACGTAGCATGCCGGCAAGCCCGGATACGACGCCGAATGACGCTCCTCCACCTTCTTCTCATACGAACCCGGAACAATTTTTAGAATGCCAATATTTCCCGAATCTTTCACCGACCCATTTAAAATCGAACCGAGCTCTTCCATAACCGCCCGGTTCGCTGCCGATTCGGGGTCCTCGCCGGGTTTCATTTTCTCCGACAAGGGCCGGCCTCGGCTTCGGACGCTACCGTCCGATAATTCTTGGTGGGCTTCGACCAAGACCCGGAATTTATCGTCGATTATCCGTACCGTGACGACGTGAACAGTTCGAACCGGAGGGGTTGAGTCGGCTAGAGAGCTTTCGCCTTCGGAGAGCTCGAGCCAGAGGTTGTGGACGTTTTTGGTGCCGGGCTTGACCCCCCACGAGGCCAGAGAGTCAGAGAGCAGGCGCGGCTTGAGCCAGTCGGAGAGGGACTGTGGGGTGGCGAAGTGGTGGAGGGACATGATGGGGATTTTGAGAAAGCGGCGAGGGGAGGAAGGGAAATGAAGAAATGGGGTTTTGGAGAAGAGGGTAGCTCTGGTGGTGGAGGAAGAGAAGAGGAAACAGAAGGAGAGGGCCGTGAGGAGGAGATCGGGTAGGGTTGGGAGGTTGTTGTTGGGGTTTTGGAGTAGGTTGGTGTGGTTGTTTCTGATTGGTGGTTGCGGCGGCGGTGGCATGTCAACAATTATGAAGATGATAATAACAACAATGGTGGTTCATGTTTGATCGAAAGAATGACGGAATTTTGGTGATGAGGCCCATTCTCTGTGTCTGTGAGTCAACAAGAAGATGGAGAAGACGAAAACAGGAAAAATAAGAGGTGGGAATTTGAGGGCATCAGTATCGTATATTATTCTCATTTTTATTCGCGCTACGTTTCTTCGGCTATTTTGGAGTAGATCAATTTATTAATAAATAAATAAAAAACAACAACAAGAACAATCAATCAAGAATATATGAATATTTGACCCAAAAAAGAGACTATCAAAAAAGAGACTATATGAATATCCTATATCCTCTATTAAAAAAAAATAAGACTATATGAATATCATGCATTTATCAAGTTGACATAATACAGATACGAAAGAGCTTGTAGCTTAAGTAATGATGAACATTTATCATATATTATTCTCATTTTTATTCGCTCTACATTTCTTCGGCTATTTTGGAGTAGATCAATTTATTAATAAATAAATAAATAAATAAACAACAACAAAAACAATCAATCAAAAATATATGAATATTTGAACCAAAAAAGAGACTATATGAATATCCTCTATTTAAAAAATTAAAAAAGAAAGACTATATGAATATCATGCATTTATCAAGTTGACATAATATAGATACGAAGGAGCTTGTAGCTCAAGTAATGATAAATATTTACCGTATATTCGAAGTCATGTATTCGACTACACCGCATAATATTGCTTTGTATGAAATTTTTGTAACATATTAATTTATCAGTTGACGTAATATTGGGCCATTTGGGCCATAAGAAGCGTTTGGGCTATGTGGGAAAAGTAACCAGAAAGAGTACAAGGCAACTTGCACGCTTTTACTAACCTCAATTTTTTCTCAATATTCCAGTCTATCTGTCGAAAAAAATTCTGACAACCCTAAATGTTATATATGTACGTATGATAAGTTGGAAGAAGATGAAAGAAGAAAGAAACAACAGGAAATGTAATCAAAATTACAAAGTAAGCTCAAGTTTTGGTCATCCAAAATGACATAAGTGATGGATTGTCTAATCTGCCAAATGCTATAGCTCATCAGGTGATCCTCACCAAACAAGTAAACCATCCTCTCCGCCCTCCATGGATCATCCTCTTCAAAATCTCCCATCTCCTTATGGTCTTTCGTTTTCGGAGTAGAATTAGGCATTAGCTCAGATCTACAGAGAGGACATGTTAGCTGACCCTCATCAATCCAAACATCCAAGCACTCTTTATGAAAAGCATGCGAGCAATTGCATGGCTCTCTGACCGCTTGGCTACCCTCTTCCATGCTGTTCATGCACACAATACACATATTTTTATTACTGGGCTCATCTGCTTCTGGTTGGCCTGTTTTGATCTTGAGAAAGTCCCTGTATTGCACCACCGGGAGTCGGTTCTTGATGAATTCAGCTATGCATTGAACCGGTAATGGCACCAACCAAGGTGAAGGAGCTGCTGCCTCTGCCAGATTATTCTCGACCAGCTGATGACCATGATCATCAAGCGTATGATTATTATTCTTGTGATATTGATCAGGTTTGAATGAGAAGTGATAGTGTATCTTGATCATGTTGAGTAGATTGAGAAGTGTTAAAAAGTAATACACATTTGTACTAGAATAATATAGAAATGTCTTGAATAATCTAGAAAAATCAAGAAAGATTGAGAGAAAGTAAAATATCTATTAACTATAACTAAATAAATCTAGAATCATGTAAAAAATTATGGCTAAAGACAAATATCAATGGAGGAATTCTCTAGAGCAAGACTACATTAACTAGATATTATATTAGAATAATATAGTTAAGTCTAGAAAGTTATATAATCTAGTGGCTGTAAATGTACAAGCCAAGTCGGTGGAACTTGTGCTATGTCGGTTGTAATCTCCTATATATAGGCTTGATGCCTATACAAAATTGTAATCAAGGAAAACTTGAAATCTACAGCTGCCTAACAACTCCCTTTAGCCAACCCTTGTATCCAACCAATTCTAAAGCTTTGTACCCTTCTTATTTCAATCAATAAAATAAAATTATCTTGTTACCCTTTCAAAAAAGCTTTTTATTCCACATAAAAGAATATTGTCCTAAATAAATCAACTATTCTCTGAGCCTCTCTTCTCCCATCAACTAACCAGAAGAAGAGAGAGCAACATTTTGATGAGCATGTTGTAGTTTCTTGCTTGGCGCGCCCATCATCAGATACATGTGTTATTGTTCTGAGAGACCACCATCACAAAAACCCAATTGGAAACATATTTAATGTTTGGAGCACAAAGACAACCCCTACCTACCTATTGTGTTTTTTTTTTTTTGGGTTCCTACTGCTTGTTCTTCCTCAAATACAACAACTACACAACATATAATACTAAAGAAAGCTGATTCTGCTTTCAGACCAACTAAATATGTTTACCAAGCATGATTCTGTCGTGTTTTATTTGTATAATTCTGGATTGAGTCTAAATCTCATTTACTATAAAAAGGGATCAGATACCGCACTAGAATTGGATAGTGACTCAAGCATTGTAAAAACTATACATGATCAATAAGTCGCCTGAACTGAACTATATATAACTACTTTACATGTAATTTGTAAATGCATTCACTAATTCCAAAGTCTTCTGAATATATAAACACCACCACTATGTCCACTCCATATATATATATATATATATATATATATATATATATATATATATATATATATATATATATATATATATATATATATATATATATATATATATATATATATATATATATATATATATATATATATATATATATATATATATATATATATATATATATATATATATATATATATATATATATATATATATATATATATATATATATATATATGTATATGTGGACTAATTGGGTATGCATATGTATAATATATTGGAAATCTAGCAATTTGATGAATAAATTGATTGAATATATCACATGAAGTCCAGTCAATGTACGTAAGGGCTCTCGTTTCAGTTTCTTGGTTGATCTACAAGTACGTACACCGTACATGAATATATGCTTATAATAATATTAATATACAAGATCAACTATATGACTAGCAGCTACCGTATTGAAATATATAACTCAAAATTATAATGTAAATTAAGCTATACGGGTCCGTACACACATCAATTGAGCATTGCATTGATTCACATATTTGACTTTGTCAAGTTACGGAATCTTTTTTTCTTTTTCTTTTCTTGAGTACTGGATCACGGACTTTTTAGAAGGCACTAGTATGATTTCATGCATGCCTACAACTTGGAAACCGTCAAATTAGTGCCTTATAAAAAAAGTCGTCTCTTTTCTTTTGCGCCGAACGAGAATGCATTATGCATCCCATCCTATCCTCCCTGGCCAGCCACTTGCATGCTTTTCCTCCTCATCACCTCTTTCTTTAATTTTCTTCTCAGTTTCCGTTGTCTCTGTGAAAACAATTCTGACAAACCCATTATCTATATATATACTTACATCTAATAATAATATATACATATATGTAAGTATATGAGTATGACAAGTAGGATCGATGAAGATCAAAGAACAAGGTTAAACAAACAAATCAATAACTCTGACTACATGATATGCGTTAAGCCTTGCGATTCCCTCTTGGAGAAACACGTATGGAATAATAATTAAAACTAGCTAGCTTGGTGCAGACAGAGTGAGCTCAAGTTTTGGTGCTATAGCTATAAGCTTAGGCTAGCTCATCCTCACCAAACAAGTAAATCATCCTCTCTACCCTCCATGGATCCTCTCTAATAAATTCTCCCATCTCCTTATGGTGATGATGATGATGATTTGATTTTGATGTGGAATTAGGCAATAGGTCAGATCTACAGAGAGGACATGTGAGCTGACCCTCGTCGATCCAAACATCTAAGCACTCTTTGTGAAAAGCATGTGAACAATTGCAGAGTTTTCTGACCCCTTGGCTACCTTCCATGCTATTCATGCACACAATACACATATGATCGTTGTTGTTGGAGTCATCTTCTGCTTCTGCTTCTGCTTGGCCTGTTTTGATCTTGAGAAAGTCCCCGTATTGCACCACTGGCAGTTGGTTCTTCACGGATTCAGCTATGCAGTGGACGGGTAATGGTACCAACCACCAAGGCGAAGGAGCTGGAGCTGCTGCTGGCAAACTATTCATCTCGGGCCGGTGATCAGGATCATGATCAATCTTGTCCTTTTGATATTGAACGCGTTTGGATGAGTAGTGTAGCTTGATTCTGAGTAGATTGAGAAGAAAGAGTAACATTTTGATGAGAATATTGTTTCTTGCTTGACCCATGAGGAAGAGTCAGTACTTGAGATATGAATGAATGTTGTGAGAGACCACAATCACAAATACTGTATCAACCACAAATGCAACCCCCCATATATTTAAATTTATGCACCCAAAAAAGTAGACTAGCTAATAATTGCACACTCTTTAAGTTGTGAAAACGATTGATTCTAACCACCTTCACCTACGAATTAATGAAGAGATAGTGAAAGGATGGTTTACCAAAAACAGAAAACAAAAAAGGGTAGTGGAACAGTGGAAGGATCTAAAGCTAAATCCTTTGGAAAAAATTCAAGACAGACAGGGGTAAGGTTTGAGAGGCCAGCAAGTTCCCTCGGTAATTAGATACTCAAATGATACTATTATATATATATATAAGAACTCTCTCTCTCTCTCTCTCTCTCTCCCTCCAGGTCAATATATATCATATTTATGAAGTCAATTATATATGTGTAAGGCGCATGTGGCTCTCCCTTTGAAAAATTAGTTAATTAATCACAACTATTCATAATGCATCCGTTAATCCAGAGTCTTCCCTTGGAAGAATTAATATTAATCACACAACTATGCATTCGTTAATCCGTAGTCTTGGGAGTTTATAAACGCCATATATAGAGATATATATATATATATATATATATATATATATATATATATATATATATGTGTGTGTGTGTGTGTGTGTGTGTATTATGGATTGATGAGGATAGTTTAATGTTGTGTACAGTTGCGATATATTGGAAATTGAAGGAAGCAATATGAATAATTAAAAGCTGATTGAAGATGAGATGATGATGAAGTACTAGTCAAGTCTAAGAGGATTGAAGATGAGATATTATTACAATTATATCTGCTCTGCTCATATAATGTTTGTCAAATTATATACAATTCTGCAGTAGGTAATTGAGCATTGAATTAATCATCAAATTCATGCCTTCAAAAAGTCTTGTTTGTCTTCTTTTCTGTTATTGATTGAACAAAAAGTGAGGTTTCTCAACGTGGCAAGTATGCTAGGCTAGCTACCTCCCATTTTCAGCTAGTAATGCTTTGTTTCTACTTCAAAAAAGAGTCTGTGGAAGGAGGAAGTCTTGGGTCGGTGGACGCATTGACTCAGCCCTGCCTATTCATTCATGTGATGGATACCTTAGCTAGCTTGGCTTAGCTTTGACAATGAGACGTACGGTCGGTGGACGCATATGCCAGCCAAAGTCAAATCAATCTCTTGGAATATCTCAGTTAGCTAGTAAATATCTTGGATTAGATCGGCATATAGAAAATGCGTACAAATAGTAGACTTAAACAAGGGTTGCAAAATCCCATGCAAACAAACAAAGGTCATCAAAAAACGAACAAACTAACGTAGAGTAAATGAACAAAGATTACTTGTTCTTTCACAAAAGTCTAAATGAACAAAGTCTTGGTATTGCGGAGCACTGGTCCACTGGGAGTTGGTAAGGTTCTTGACGGACTCAGTGGACAGGTATTGAAGGTGAAGGAGCTGCTGCTCATGTTCTTGATCAACATGTTTCTTGCTGGGTCCATCATCAGATACAGATACATACATCATACATGTTCTGACTCAGAGTATTAAACTTAGTGTAATGCTCTTGTTGTAATAACTTTAACAAAAAAATTGTCTATCTACTAAAACCAGCTCGAGTGTTTTCTGGAAGAGAAAAACACAGCTCGAGCTCCACACGTAGGTGGTGTTTGTATTGGCTGATATATCAGTCTTTACTTTTGGTTGGTAAGGTAACCAGCAAGCTTGTGGGCTTTAAAGAGCCTTGTAATAGTTATTTTGTAGAGAGTGCTACTCTCTATTCTAATATGAAACAAACAAAAAAAGAAACTAGTCTGGTCTGAATTGCTCCAAACCTTCGAGTTCATCACTTCTTATTTCTCATTCTCTTTCTCTTATCTTTGCATATTAATCTCTTGAGTGATTTGCTACTAGTATAGTATTACCAAAAAATTCCAACAGATATGCATCAAAAAAGAGTTGTTGTACATAGTGAAAGGAATGCAATGTTCAAATTCAATTATGAAAGTTGATAGTGAAATCCTGAAAGGATCAACCTAAACTAAACTAATCCCTTCAACAATAAATTCATTAAAAATTAGATCACGAGAAAAAGCTATATTGTATATACGTGTTGTTGAAATGAAGAGGTGTCCATCTCCATCTTGCCTGGCTTTTAGGGAAGTGATTTTGAGAAGTAGGGTCCAAGCGAATGATGGAACGTACAAATCTTATCTTGAGTCATGCTCATGATGAGGTCATCACTTATTGCATGCTTTTCCTCCTCACCTCTTTCTTTTTCTTCTCAATTTCGGTTTACTGTCAAAACAGTTTTGACAAAACCAGTATCTATATATTATATTTACTTATGTTTACATATGTATAAGTAAATATGACAAGTGGGTGGGAAGAAGATCGAAGATCAAAGAACAAGGTTAAACAAACAAATGAACATTTTCAGATTTTTATTTTTTATTTTTTTTTGGATGAAATGGGGGGATAAACCCCAAAGAACAACTAGACTTTGTCAAAGGGAATCTGACGGGCCCGAGGGACCCCTAGCAAGTCATCAACCAGTACATCACTAGCCCACAAAGTGCTGAGTCCATTTCAATGGTGAGCTTGTTGACACCTTTATCCAAGGCCATTTTGAAACCAAAAAATAGACCCCATAACTCAGCTTCAAGAACTTGGCCATTTCCCAAATTCACAGCAAAACCCTTAATCCAATTTCCAGAGGAGTCGCGGAGGACACCTCCAGCTCCAATATTACCAGATGCAGGTTTACAAGATCCATCCACATTCAATTTGAAAATTCCAGTAATTTGTTTGTTTGAGACTTGAAAGAATACGTAAAAGGCATTCTGATTTGTGAAACAAACCAAAAAAAACAAGTTTCAAGAGACTACATGATATGCGTAAAGCCTTTTAAAACTAGCTTGGTAGCTCTCATTTTGGTGCTAGGCTTAGGCACGCTCATCCTCACCAAACAAGTAAATCATCCTCTCGGCCCTCCATGGATCCTCTCCAAATTCTCCCATCTCCTTATGGTGATGATGATGATTTGATTTTAGAGTGGAATTAGGCAATAAGTTAGATCTACAGAGAGGACATGTGAGCTGACCCTCATCGATCCAAACATCTAAGCACTCTTTGTGAAAAGCATGTGAACAATTGCAGAGTTTTCTGATCCCTTGGCTACCTTCCATGCTGTTCATGCACACAATACACATATGATCATTGTTATTGGAGTCATCTTCTGCTTCTGCTGGTTGGCCTGTTTTTATCTTGAGAAAGTCCCGGTATTGCACAACTGGCAGTTGGTTCTTCACGGATTCAGCTATGCAGTGGACGGGTAATGGTACCAACCACCAAGTTGAAGGATTGATCTCGGGCTGGGGATCAAGAATATAATTATCCCTTTGATATTGACCACGTTTGGATGAGTAGTGTAGCTTGATCCCGAATGGATTGAGAAGAGAGAGTAACATTTTGATGAGATTATTCTTTCTTGCTTGATCCTCCTCACCCATCAGATATGAATGAAAGTTGTGAGAGACCACAAATACTGGAACTGGAAGCATATACTTTTATTGATTGCTATCAATATCAACCACAATGGCAGCCCATTTTATGCACCCAAAAAAGCAGACTAGTTCTATACACTTGAAGTTGTGAAACGATGGATTTGGACCTTCACCTACGAAATTAATGAAGATAATGAAAGGATGGTTGAAGGACCATAAACAGAAAACAGAGAGGATAGTGGAAGGATCTAAACCTAACCCCTTTGGCAATAAATGAAGAGCATTCAAGACAGGATAATTACAAACTCAAATGATACAGTACACTATACAACTACGAGGTATATATAATAACTCTCTCTCTCTCTCTCTCTCTCTCTAGTATAGTGTATATAAAACTAATACATGTTCACCAAGTTACCTGAGCCTTAGGGACATGGGGACAGCTGACAGCGGACAGCTGGGAGGTTAGGTGAGGACATATGTGGTTAGACGTTTCGATAATTAAACTAACAAACATATGTAGGTATGCATCAATTATTTGATGACTTTTTTTTCCCAAAGTTATGTAGGATGATGGGATTTTCTCACACACCCTACTATGAGATGTCATGGGAGATTCAAACCTGAAATCACTAGTTTGTAAATCAAAGTTCTTTTTCACTGTACTAAACATTATTGACCTTAATTAGCTATATCCCGATCACTATATATCATATTTATGAAGTCAATTTTATATATATATATATATATATATGTGTGGTTAGTGCATGTGGGTCTTCCCTTAGAATTAATTAATCACAACTCAATTATATATGTTTGTGTGGTGTGGAGCAGGTGGGTCTTCCCTTAGAATTAATTAATCACAACACAAACTATGTGCATCCGTTAATCCAGAGTCTTCCCTTTGAAGAATTAATTCATCACACAAGTATAACTATGCATTCGTTAATCCAGAGTCTTATACACATGCGATTGAGGATATAGTTTAATGTTATAGCTTATACACATGCTATTTTCATAGTTTAAGTGTAAGAGGGTTGTATATATTCAATTTGTTGGCGGGCATCATATCATATCATGAAGATCACTGAAATCTTTAATTAGCATATATATATTTGGCATTAATTATTACAATTATCTGCTCTAATCATTTTGTCAAATTATTTAATGGAACATTGAAATCAGCGATCACACATCTCTGGATTAATTTTGTAAACTTATGGAACACACACACATGTGTTCATTAATTTTGTTAACTTATGGAACACTATATATATATATATATATATATATATATATATGATAATGTTAATTAAAAAGTTCGTGAATGCATCCAATGATATGATATCTCAGAGGAGAGGTACAATCTACAAACTTTGTGAATGCATCCAATGATTCACTTTAAATTATATAAAATCTCCGTTGCTACAACAACTTGGGATGGAGCCGTCAAATTCATGCCTTCAAAAAGTCTCCTCTTTTCTTCTCTTCTTTTCTCTTGTTGATTGAAAAAGTCAGGTTTTCTCAACGTGTCAATTATGCTAGATAGCTCCCATTTTCAGCTGTTATCTACATTATAATGATTAGTTTCTACTTCTTTCTTGGTGATGAAAGGAGGAATCCTTAATATTAGCTGAGTTACCCTGGCCATTCATTCATGTGATGGTTAGCTTAATTAGCTTAGCTTAGCTTAGCTGTGAGACGTAAGGCCGGAGAGAGAGAGAGAGAGAGAGAGAGAGATGATATGTATACAGCCAGCCAGCCAGCCACACACCTTCATATAAGTTATAACCACAAAATTGTTGCGGTTTAAAGTGATGATATATATGTGTATATTAATTATATCCCAAAGTCATATAGAAAATGCGTACAAATAGATGGTATATTTTAAACAAGGGTTGCAAGCAAAATCCCATGCAAAATTGCAATTCAACTTCATCCAGCTGGTTAATTGTTTTTAAAGTTTAGTTTAGTTTTTTTTTACTTATTTATTAATCTAAAGGTGCTGCTAGGTAATCATCTGCTAGTCTGATGACCCTGATGCTGATGATTGTATGTTCAGGTGGAATTATAGACAAACAAAGGACATGTGATTAGCTTGTGTGATCGGCCTGTTTTGATCTTGAGAAAGTCTTTGGTACTTATTGCCACCACTGGGAGTTGGTTCGTGAGTCGTGACGGACTCAGCTACACCGACCAACCAAGGTGAAGGAGCTGCTGCTGCACCACTTACAGGGCCATGCCCATGCATGCTCATTCCTCCTTCATTCCAGAATATTCTTTCTAAACATAGACACACACCACGTCATAACATAATGGATCGACAATTTGGAAAATTAATTGATTGAACATTAACAATATTAAGGCTCGTGTTCATTTTCTTGGCGGTCGTATCGTATCGTAAAGTTTACTGATTCAATTGCTTGATGATGATGCTAGACTAAACTCACATTACAACTTTCAATTGAAGTGGTGCATATATATACAGGGGTGGATCGGTGGCGCTATATTTTTGACACAAGTTTTAACACAAGTTCTTGATCATTAGTTTAACACATTATAAATGACTGAGATTAAATCTCACTACTATTTATTACTATCTTTTTAATAATATTTTTTGCCTAAAATTACTATTATTTTAATAGACTAATTATGAATTGCACAGTTCCCATAATTCTCTCTCTATATCTCTTCTCCATGCCCACCGTTGGTTGTATTTCTATCCCTCTTCCTCCATGGCCATCATTGACTACATCAATCAAGAATACCAGCAACAATCAACAACCGCCATCTATAAATTAAAAAAATCTCTTCCCATCCTTCAGCAGGCCAACAAGCATAACCCAAATCCTCCGAGGCTCATCAAGATCATATCTTCAGTGCCTCAAAGTTCATCAAATTATTCAAAGTGAAAGCTTGAACAACATGTTCAATGGATTAGTTGAACCAACCCCTGCAGATTATTCTCAAACAATTATCTCACATCTTACCACCCCATTATACAATTTTACCAAGGCTCAATGACGAGACAAGTAATTAACTAAAGAATTAGGAATTTTCCTATGAGTTTTAATTATTAATTCAAGTGTTTTTTTAACCAACCTCTTTCATTTTAAGAAACAAAACCAGAACAACATGAGACATAAACCAAAACAGAGCAGCTAAAAAAAAATATACAGCTGACTTATGGCTCTTGTTCCATCTTCAGTTTCTTAGAGGGCATGGTAGCCCATCCACATGAGTTAGGACTGATGAGGGTCGGTCCACCCAGACCTCTTCGTGCATCATCCTCTTTGCCTAAGATGCCATAGCATCTACTGGAGAGTTTAGGTTGTACATTTGATAGATACCCAAGGGTGGGCATGGAGGAAAAGAGATGTGGCGATTTACACGGAGAAAGAGAGAGAGTTTTGGGACCTGTGCCAGTCTTAATTATTCTAATAAAACAATAATAACTTTTGAATAAAAGTATTATTAACATGATAATAATAAATTAGTTGTGAGATCTCAGCCATTTATAATATGTTAATCTAATGACCAAGAAATTGTGTCAAAACTTGTGTCAAAAATATAGTGCCATATCTGCCCCCATATATATATATATATCCATTACAAAGGGCTGCGCCTCAACTATCTTATAATTCCAATGTGAAAACTCATTCCAATTTGAAGACTCAGCCTGCCTTAGTTGTTAGATATAAACCAATAAAAAGGATTTACCACAAAGTTACTAATGCACCTATCATTCTATTGTCATCGTGTGATGCAAAAAACAAATGGAAAGGGATGTAAGGGGGTATAAATGAATTTGCTGTATTCGGCATAGCAGGTTGAACTGAAACCAGATTTACCCAGGTCCTAACATCCGTTGGCCCTTTCGACCAAAAAAATAACATCCGTTGCCCAACTTGCCCGTTATTTCCAAGTACCATTAAAAAAAATTCACTTCTTTCTTGGGATGAATGAGACATGAAATAATATGCAACAGGTAAGCATGGAAATCGATATCCAATAAATCTAGCCTCACTTCTTTTAGAAAGTGCAGAGAAATCCTTCCCCCACTTCATTTTTATACATAGATAGAACCACTCAAAATCTTCTTGACAACTTTCTTTTTTCTTTCTATAAAGTACTGTCAAACATGAGGAAATAAGTTATAACATTCGCAATCGAGGGAGTGCAACACTAACAGGTACAATTAACATTGGATCTAACAAGGGATGAAAAGTGAGAGGTAAGGATACGGTACTCACATTGGGTTCTAGACCAAGATGACAAGACTAGTAGATAATAAGCAATAAATAGATCTCTAACAGTTCAAAGCTAACCGTATTCCTTTACAAACAACCCTACAGCTGACTGAACAAGTAAGTACTTCCAGCTGACTCGCCAAGTGATCATCACTGCTTCCATCAGGAGGCCTGCATCGAAAGAAATTACACATGCAACTTATCCAGTTAATAGGGAGAAAACAACCGAATTCAAGAGGAACGGTAAGAGAATACACAATCCACTGTCAATGTATCAGCCTAAGACAGTAACAATGTGTAGAAGCATAGTAGCAGCTAAACAAAACAATACCAAACACAAAGCCATGTAGGAGATCCCTCCATGAGGGTGACTTATCATTAATTGCTAGCTCATCAATAGTGAAAAAACAACTAGAGCAGAAAGCACCAGCATTACAAAACAGACAAATAGAATGCATATTTATACAGAACAATTTTCTTAAATATGAAAACTGAAGGTGCAGAGTATGCCTGCCTGTTCCATAATTACTAATACATGCGCAAAGTTCCCATCCACAAGAAAATTTCAGTGGCTGGGTTTCAATTGTATAATACAGCTTGCAATATTAGCACAAGACAACTAACTCCCAAGCAGATCGCTGGATTGGAAATTCAAAGGAAACATTTGCAAGAAGGGTAAAGAATTAAAGTTAAAGGCCATAAGGGGAAGAATGCAGGTAAAGCTAGAGACAATTCGCCCTAGAGAAATTGTGGGACCAAATCATCATGCTGTAATTTGAGGGGAGAAGGAAAGAAAATACAATAAAAATAGAAACTCAAGCAGAAGAACATTTTGATAGTCCAAACCAGGTGCAACAGCATGCGCCAAAATGTGATGTGCACAAATGCAATGAAATGAGGTGAGTATCATCAAACAAGGAAAATGTCAAGAGAAATGACTACAAAGCATAACCAGAAAGACAGATATACTATGCAAATAGGCAGACAGAAAAGGGGTGCTACAGCAAATGCAAATGTATTTCACTAACTCTGCAACTCCAACCAGCACACACACAAAATTTGCAACAATAAAGTATGCTGGCATTCACAGTAGCAATTCGGTCATGCAATATTTATTAGTCTCAAATTCACCCAAATTCACCTAAAGCAAAGCACTTTATTCAACACTTAAATCAAAAACATCAAATTACCCAAAACAGATCACTACATATCAGTCATAAACTCAAAGCAAAGCACTTCATAATCCAAATGAGAAAAGCGTCCTGCACCTCAAACCTTCAAAAGCTGCATCTTGTTAGAAAATGCAATCGAAATCCAATCAGGCTGTGCAGCAGACCACTGCAACTGATTAATCTCTGCCCCTGCAGAATACATCGACATGGGGTCGATCCCATTGGGCCCGGCGACCGTGGGCAGCTCCCAAATAAGTGCCTGAGTATCATCCCCAGCAGAGCAGATGTGTCTAGAACTCTGGGGTGCCCAAGCAATGGCATTTACACTAGCCCTATGCCTCTCTAACTCGGCAACGGGCATAGTCGGTGAACGGATATCCAAAATCACAACTTTATTGCTGTCCATCAAAATGGTGGCCATGTACCTCAGGTCCTGCTTGTTCCAAGCCAATCTAAGCAAAGGGGTGTCAGGCTGGGGGCTCTCGTAGATAATGGTAGAATGCTCCTTGTCCCGCAAATCGAAGATCCTCACGGACCCATCAGCCGAAACCGAAGCGAAAACCCTAGCTTCACCCCAGGCAATGTCGTAAACCTCTTTATCGTGCGCAATGAGCTGGGTTTCAACGACCCCCTTTTCAATATCCCAAATGGTACAGGTGGTGTCGATGCTGGAAGTCCCAATTCGTCTGGGTTCGATGTCGTTCCAATCGAATGAGGTCAATGGGGCACAGAACTCGCTGGTCTTACTGTTGTTCAAGACCTGGATGGGTTCGACGGAAGAGTCTCGAACCTCCCAGAGACGGAGATAGTCGCCAGAAGAAGCTAAGACGTCGTTACTTTTGTGGAGGGAGTTAGGGTTTGGGTGGAACATGAGCTTGGTGGGTGGATAAGGGTGATCAAAGGAGAGGGTCGGGTTTGGTTTTACAGAAAGGGTATCCGGGTCGAAGGAGAGGATGTCAACCCGGTTAGTGTACTCCTCGATAAAGCTACCCACGGCGATTCGGTGGTGTTGGTGTCGGTTTCGTGTTTGTGGGGAAGAGAAGGCCATGGCATAGAGAGGGTACGGAGACTCGTACGTCACCGAGTTCTCCTGACCGAGATGGGATTCTTGTGCTGAGTTCTCCATTTCCTTTTCTTCTTTCTTTTAATTTTTTTTCTGGGGAAAGTGACGGAAAAGTTCGTTGAGAGGATGAAGCAGAGGTATTCTGGGTGGGGAAATGTTTGTGTCGGAGCTCGGAAGATGGGAGTTGGGGTTTGGATTTTCAAGGCGAATGCATTTGAGAAGCAGGCGATGCTAACTCAAGAAACGACATGTAGTTGGTGAAATTGCAACTGAAAAGTTGGTTGGTCAACAAGTCAAAAAGTCAAACAGTCAAAGTAAGCCACGCACACATAATTTGACTGGGCTAATGGGCTTTCAAGACATTTTACTTACGCCTGTTCCCTGTATCCAATGGACGAAAAGAATTTTGTTTCCTTTTGAGGCCAGAAAAGGATTTGGATTTTTGTAACTAGAAAAATAAAAATAAAAAGAAATGGACTTTTAATTCAATGAGGTTGGAAACGAAACATAAAGTAGCTGTTTTTGGTCTAAAGCTGCATTGGCCCAAATTTAATGTTTTCTCGTAAACGCATTGTCCCAAGAACATGGGCCCTTGGGTGTTTGAATTTTGGCCCACTAACTTTTTTGTAATTGAGTGCAGTGTGGAAAGGAAAGGAAGCATTATGATGAAGGAAAGGAAAGGAAAGGAAAGGAAGCTTCAAGTGGTGGGGCATTTTGCAAGGAAATCCCGGGCTCGGAGGAAATGACCTTTACTTTTTGTGTAATACGACAAAAAATTATTGTGTATAACGGTAATACGTCTATTAAGGTTTACTACAAGATTTACTTACAAGCTTTCACATTACAATTAATACATCATTAATATTGCTTATTAGCGGAGAGTTTATAAGTATAAAAGTCAAGGTAATCTGTCATGTCATAAAGTTGGGAAAAGAAAAAATGAAAAGGTGAATAATTTGTTAAGAGTCATTGTTTTAGGTTATAAGAATGTGTTGGAATGTTTGTGATTATAAAGTGCACTCAACGCAATTGGCGGTGGTAGTAATTGACTTATTGGTCACGTTCATAATTCATTCTATTAGAATATGAATAATGTTACTCTTACTACATTTATATATATATGGATAAATTTAGAAATTTTACTTCAAGAGGTCAACGTGTAAAAACTCACATATATTTTTTAGACAAAAAAGACTCTTAAAAAATAAAATAAAAAAGTAGTGAGGGATCAAATCAATTGTGAAGAAGGGTTAGTAAACCTTTGTTTGGACATTCGGAGCTTAATGATATAGAAGATGAGGTTCCGTTCCTATCCAACCAATTGAAGAAGAAGAAGAAGAAGATGATGATGACGTGTGATGTAGGGCATTGCATGGATATTCGGTGCAACTTGCAAATGGTCGATCAAGTCACAATGCGTGTCGGATATGGTAATGCCAGAGGAGAGAGAGAGAGAGAGAGAGAGAGAGAGAGAGTTGGCAGTGGCCTTACAATCTCGTCAGCTGATGACGCACACGCGGGTTCAAAAGATGATGTCATGACCTAGGGTTCCCTAAATTAAGCCAGGGCTAGCTGTAGCTTGCAGGGGTGCAGCGCTGCAGTGCACGGGGCACATAATTTAACCTACCAGAGAGAATAGTACCATCACTAATTAATTAATGAATTAATGGTCCAGAATTTGGGATATGAAGACAAAAAGCCACTTAAAAAATAAAAAAGAACAAATATTATAATGGAAGTTGGATCTAAAAAGGTTTTGAACGAGTAAAAGTGTTTATGCAGCAGCTGCGACTCTGCGACTGCGACTGCGCTTTTGCTTTTTGAGCAAAAAGCTGACTTAATTTCACCTAGTGTAAAAAAGTTCAAGAGAGTAAGACAAAAGATGTAGCTCAAAATCTCAATCGACTGCAAGTTTGAAATTCAAGTGTGAACCAATTTTATAACAACAAATCGACTGCATTGTAATTGTAGGCAATCTAGATTTATCGTATATGTCGGCCAACGCGGATTATATGTCGACATGAACTTTAACAACTCTTTTTTTTTTCTTTCTTTGAAAATGATTTGTCAATGGACTATATGGCCAAGCTTACAGTATGGTGCCATGTGATCAGCAAGTAGTGGATACTTCCGTGTGCCGACTTTGCCCCGACTCCCTAGTTTATGGGTCATTACTTTAAAGGCAAACCAACCAACCCGACCAGACCAAAGGTTGATTGGATGACACTTGCTCACAGTCACAAGAACCCACTCGAGCCATATACTTGGGCAGAATCTCCCAAGATCCCCCTCAGTCAAATTTTAGGAGCAAATCAACGTGATTAGAGAATCCAGGGAAAGATCGCCTCTCTGAACAAGTTAACCTATGTGGGTGTCCATACAAGACTAAAAAGGGGGCACTTAGGCCATCTCCCAACCCTCCCAGTCAACCATGATTACATCCAAAAACCCCAATAAAAGTGCAAATTAATTAATTGAAACGGATTTGGGAAAAGAGAGAATAATTAGGTTAGGAAGATCGATAATGGTTTTTGTAGGTATGATGGCAACGTGAGAGGGTAGGATTTCAGTGGCTGCAAGCTAGCCTGCTGTGATGTGCTTGCGTAATGAGTGACGAGTGAGAAAAAACCAATGATGACCATTCGATTATGACTTATGAAGTTATGAAACGGGAAAAAGGGAAGCGGCCACCCGGCCACCCGGCCACCCGGCCACCCGGCCACCCGGCCCCCCGGCCCCATTCAATGAAATAGGCACATGTTTTTTGTACCGCCAGCCGTATAATTTATAAACAAGGATCGCAAGCTCACTTCTCTGGTAATGGTTAAATCTTAAATGGTATATGCCTGCACTCCTGCACGTTTTGAAGATTCTTAATCAAAGAAATTACAAAGAGTCAACCCACCTTCTTTTTCTGGCCCAGCACACTCACACACTCACAAGGTGGTGGATGGGTTGGAGTCCTCTTGTCCATAAAACCTTCATCCTCTTTCAATACCAATCATTCATTTTACTCTCAGCCTGATCTCCAAAGTCATCCCTCCAATCCAAGTTCCAACCCTAAAGATAAGATTACAGCGTTCATGTGACAGATACCGCCAATACCCACAGATGCACCTCAAAAATGCAAGTCATTATCTGTGTTCTTAATACATACATGCAAAGTAATATGTCTAAATCACATGTAATATATAATCATTGAATTAAAATTGACCATACCACGTATCATCTCTTCTATACGTTAACAATGATGTGTATGTGTGGCTACCATTTCTAACCAGCTTACATGTATGTGTGTCGTCTTGTATACCCTATGCTGTGTCTATATTGCCCATTTTCAACCACACACAAAAATTGCGTTTTCTTTACTCCCAAGTCTCCAACGCAACGCACACGCTACCCTTAAATAACTTGTGACAGTGAATAAGTGGGTCAAACTCTCAACCTTCTTCCAAATGCGCTATGATTGATATCAACCCAATTTAAATTCAGGTAAAAAGCCACTATTTGTCCTTGTAGTTTGCCACTTGACAAAATAGATTTTCCAGCAAAGACTCGTAGCAGCAATCTTGATGATTTCAATTTCAACATTGGTGGCTTCTGGCAATACTCATCACCCAACAACTCATGCAATGTAAACTTTAGCCACTCTGATTCCTGGATAGATAGATAAATACATATCAAAACAATCAAGTAAAAAACAACATTAAGTTTAATTTCTATAAATTAAAAGAAGAAATTGTACCTCCAAGGCCTTGAAAGGGACCAACCAGTGCTCTAGGACCACAAGCTCGTGAACTTGGCCAACCCTTGGATCGCTCTCGCACTCGAACGCCTCCCCTTCGCTGCCTTCTCCCTCTTTTCCCAGATCGTCTGGGTTTCGCGACTGGGTCTCGTTCCTAGGCCGCCATCTCCGCCTTCCTGCCTCAACCAACAACGAACGCCTCCTTTTCTTTGTTTTTTTTTTCCATCCTTTGTTTTTGGACCGAAAAGCCCCTCAACAACTAACAGCAGCAGTTACTCTAATTTGACAGTAATTAGAATTTATCTTTAAATTACTTAAGTTAAAAATTACATGAACAAAATTGATCAAATTAAAATGACATGAACCAAAATGATAAAAGTGACAAAATACAATAACAAAAAGCAATCTTTGACCTTAAATTTAAGACTCCCCCCTCTCCTCCCTAAATAATATGACAGAAAAAAAAGAAAAGAAAAAAAGACTAGTACTAGTAGGAGGATCTGACTAGGTGACAGTAGCCAGCTAGACATATATAGGTGGGGCGGTAAAGAAAGATTTTTGGTTGTGGACCAATGGGCTCGTGGTAGATCCTGGGAATCTAGAAATTAAACTAGTTCACGTGTGACGATACCGCAACACATGCAGCATTTTGGGGTCTAAATTGAGATGTGTGATAAGGAATGTAAGACACCAACTGTAGATTTAGGGTTAATGACCTAAATGGTCCCTTAATTATTGCCTCAGTATCATTTTGGTCCCTTAACTAAAATATTCAATTCAAACGTCCTTAAACTTTTTATTTTGTATCAAGATGGCCCATCCGTCAAAGTCTGTGTATTATTCCGTGAAATCAAGGGACAAAATCGTATTTTTAGGTGAGTATCCTCTTCTAAAAGTGTTATTGATCCCAATGATCCCTCAACTATTGCTCTAGTATTATTTTGGTCCACTAACTAAAATTTTCATTTGAACCGTCCTTCAACTTTCTTTCTTTTTTTGTATCAAGATGGTCCCATTGTTAAAGTCTGTCAATTTTCTTGTTAAATTGAGGGGTAAAAATGTCCCTATGAATTAAAATAGTAATATATAATTAAAAATTAAAGGAAACTATTATAAAACTTAAAAAAAATTTAAAAAAATTTGTAAACTCTTGAAGTTGCTGGTCATGCTGACCTCAGGATGAGCTATTGTTTCTGGTTGGAAGCTTGGTCATGGTGACATGAAGATGAGCTAGGGCTGCTGGTGGGATTTATTGGTGAAGTGCATCAACCAATTCTGATTTTCTAATACAAGTGCATCAACCAATTCAAATTTTCTAATACAAGTGCATCAACCAATTCAA